TTACAATTTTTCTTTTTCTTTTTTTTCTTTTTTTCTTTTTTTTGAGACGGAGTCTTGCTCTGTCACCAGGCTGGAGTGCAGAGGCACAATCTCAGCTCACTGCAACCTCTGCCTCCTGGGTTCAAGTGATTCTCCTGCCTCAGCCTCCTGAGTAGCTGGGACTACAGGCACGCACCACCAAGCCCAGCTAATTTTTTGTATTTTTAGTAGAGATGAGGTTTCACCATGTTGGCCAGGACGGTCTCAATCTCTTGACCTCATGATCCACCCGCCTCAGCCTCCCAAAGTGCTGGGATTACAGATGTGAGCCACAGTGCCCAACCCAACTTACTTTTTTTTAACTACAGTGATGCAAAAATGATAATGTGTTCGGTAGGACCCATACTTGAATTTTGAATTTTGATATATTCTAGGGCTAGCGACTGGTATATTAAACACATTTTCAAGTTATATGTTCAGTTTGCAATGGGCTTATCAGGACATAACCCCATCATAAATGTCAAGGAGCATTTGTGTATTTTTTCTGTCTCTAAGTTTCCATTTTTCTCACTGCGTCTTGAGATCTGTCTATCACTGTTCCGACTTTTGCGTTTCTCTCTCTGGGTTACTGCCCTTTTTTTCCTGCTGGACAGAGCCAGCCATCTGATTTTCCTGCAAGGAGCTTTAGAACTTTCCAGAAGTGGCCATTCTTCTTCCCTTTGGCTGCTTTCTAGAACTGTAGCACCAGTTTGGGGTCCTCAGGCACAGTCATAAGGTCTCAATTTTTGATGAGGACCTGAGTGAGCTTCAATACATAGGGCCTTTTCAGGGAGTAGAATTTCCCTACAGTGGGGTCTTAGTGTCAAAACAAAGACATTTGTGCCTTAACCCATACTCTGGTCCTGGATTTCATGGTAGTGTGTTCATGGAAACTTGGGAAGTTCATGGGGTGAGTGCAAGGAGGACGGGGCTCTGCACACAACTGGACCTACTGAGAAACAGGACCTGAATATGCCTTGCATTCAACTGCCTCCTCCCCTGGATGGCACACTCCAGCTTTAGGGCCCTCGAGGAACAAGCAAATTCAGTCCCCTGAGCTCCAAGGGTTGTTAGGCAACCAAGAAATGTGGTTATCATTAAAGAATGGGGCTGGGTATTGGGGAATCGGTGGGCCTGCAGGATAGGCAAAGAACAACATAGCACATGACAACGTTTTGATGTAATTTCCTAGAAAACAGAAGGCCACCATCCTAATATTAAGCATAGTGAAGCTCCATCTGGAGGGGAGCAAAGGTGTTTTCTGGGGTGGAAAAACTGCTGGAGCCCCTGTGTTCTGTATAGGGGTATGCCCATACCTCCATGGATGGGGGGAGTGATCCTAGGGAAGAGCAGGAGGAGTGACTTTGAAGCCTCGGTCCTGGCGGGCGAGATCAAGGCCCATATTGGTAATCTTTCACTGTGTCATCAGCTCCCCAACACCTTTCTGTACAAACTGCAGAAAGTTTGCAATGAGCAGATCAGGAATAGCTTATCACAGAGACAAAGCTGTACAGAAATGGATCATAAATATTTTATCCACACTCATGCTTCCAACTAGTTACACTCTGATTTATGTTTCACCCTCCTCTCTCCCTAAGCACAAGGGACTCTCCCCCAGCCTCTGACTCTTCTCTGACCTGGGACCTCACTACAGACAGACAGGATATTACTCACCAAGGAGCTCTCTCATCTACTCCTACCCCCAACTCATCCTCCCGCACCCCACCCTCACTCCCACCCCTTCCCACCTGGGCCCACTCCCTCCCTCCCCCACTCAATCTGACCCTCACTCTCACTATTCTTCTCCCCCACACCACCCCACCCCACCCATCCTTGTCCCTCCCTGACTCACCTCAAGTCCCATTGACACAAACAAAAATTTCAGCACAACCCACTCCAACCGGTTTGGCTGAGGCGTGCAGCCTGTCATGGGGACAGAGACAGGTATAAGTGGACGCTTGGATGCATGCAGATCATGAAGAACATCCACTGCTGTGCACACAGAGACAGTTCCACCTATGTGCATAGCATGTACACGTACAGAGATACGTAGGGAGCACATGATGGTGGGATATAGCATATTACAGTTGTTTCTGTGTCTGACTCCCGATTGAAGGCTCCTTGAGGGCAGGGACTATGTGTTATGTGTCTTGGTCTCCTCCCTTGAGCCTGACATATAGTGGTACTCACTGAATGTCTGTTGAAGGAATGCATGGGTGCAGGCGTGCATGCAGTAATGCCACCCAAACACACATGATAAACACACTATCATGGCTTGAATTGTTCTCATTCTTAGGGTCCACAATATGGGTAGGAAGAGGGTAGGAGTGAGGCATGTGGGGAATGAGAATTCAATATGGAAGGGAGAACCGAACCACGATGCCAGGCATTGGTCTTGAAAATCTTCCTCATCCAATATTTCCTTCCAGCCTCAATCCTAGAATATGCCTTCCCCAGCCTTCATCCTAGGAGAGGGTAAGAAAGACCTAAGTTTGAGGGCATATTCTCCAAGAGCATGGCCCTTGTGAGACATACAGGGCTGAGGGGAGGGAGGGGACAGTACAGTGGGACTTGAGATAGATATTTGTGAAATGAGGAGAGAGAGAGATCCCTACCTCTGTCAAAGGCCTGGAGTGGGCTGTTAGACTCTAGTACTCCCTCTTAGGCCCTGTGGTGCCCTTAGCCTACTTCAAGGCTGCATCTGGTGTTTACTGGGACCCAAACATACCCATGAAAAACTGAATATAGCCATACCCTAACTCCACCTCTGGACAGTTCTGCCTCCCTTCCATGCTCTGTATGGCTAGAGTTCAGGGTGAGTGATGAAGGGGCCTAACCAGGGGTTCAGAGACATCCTGACTGGTAACACTTTCACAGGGGTATACCGTGAATGGACAGGCTGAAGGAGATTGGATACCCATCTTGTGAACTAACTGCTTTTCCACTCCTGTGCCTCAGTTTCTCCTGTGGCTTCCTGGAGGGGTGAATCCGTGGGAAGAAAGCAGCTCCTCCGAAAGCATGCGATAGGATCCAAGGTGTGATAATTATAATTATAACACAGGATGCTCCCCCTCCCATTCCCGCTGGCCCTACTCCACCCCTGCCACAGTGGATCTCAAAGCAGCATCTGGGTGGGGCTGTTCCCCTGGCACAGGTGGGGACCTGAAGAGGGGAAGGGGTTGGAGGCAGAGAGAAACTGGGGAATTCTGGCATCTGGCCTGGCCTGTAAGAGCCTCTGACCTGCAGGAAATAGCCCCTGAAGAAGAGGTCACTGCCGTGGTCATTGCTGACAGTTGGGATCTAGAGCCAGAGTTGGGGTCATAGTCCAGTGACGGGAGTAAAGTACAGGTCACAACCCCAGTTCAGGACAGTAACTCACAGCTAGTCGGGATCTCTGCTTTACTGATCCTACTTCACCACCCTTTCCATCTGGACAACTCATTTATTCAGAAATTCATGCCTCCACCAAAATGTAGTCAGTTCCCATGAAATGCTGTGGCCTGTCCTAGCATGGAAGACTGAGACAAGATTATAAAATAAGCCCAACTTTCAAGGAGTTCACAGGCTACAACTCTTGCCCTGTCCCACAATTTAATACATTGACTGAATCCCTGGCACACAGCAGGCTTCAATCAATGTTTTTTTGACTTGAAGCTTACAATTTAGTTAAGGAGATAAGATGTGCACAAATTATGAGCACATAAGCTATAATAAAAGGACTAGTAAAGGCTGAGGAAGAATAGAAGAAAGATTAATTTGGGGTGGGAGGAGCAGAGAAGGCTTCACGAAGATGTGGCATTTGAGGTCAGCTTTGAAAGATGAATAAGAGTTTGACAGGTAGAGTTGGTGGGGATGGTGTGGTAGAAAATCTACATAGAAAAACTCTTCCTTACGGCTTCTTTATTCCTCCTCTCTGCCTCCTCCAGATGGAAGGGTCCTATTGCAAAACTTTAACCTATTTTTTTTCTTCTCCCACATCTATCTCTATATTTACCTGGTTTTTGTTTTGTTTTAGCCCTAGTCTGCAAGTGATCTTGCCTCTCCCCTTCACTAAATTTTCAGTGAGCGCAGAATATGCCCTCTTCCTCTGGCCAGGGAGGCCAGTAAGGTTTTGTGTAACTTGGCGGTCACATTTTATGCATTCAAAATGGAAACATGTGGTCTGACAAGGATGAGTGTACTTATAGGAATACAGGGCTCATTGAAATTAAGATTGTCCTTGCAAAGTCCAGACATGTGGTCTTGTCTAATGACCTAGGAATACACTGGGTAAAATGACCATGGAGAGCCTAGAGAGGAACCTCTCTCCATTCAAGTTGTGCTGCTGCCCCTTTGGCCAGGTGACAAGATGTTGAAGCTGAGAGAGGGCCCTGATAGGGAAGCCAGGAACCCCTAGGGCTAATTCCTTGGCCACTTCCTTGGCTTCTCCCACATGGAGTTGGGATTAGAGGAGTTACGTAAGTTATTTATCAGGGGTCTTTGAACTACTTCCCTACCTCAGGGATAGAGGTGTCTGAGCAAACCATGAGACTAAGTTGTGTGTCCTCTGGCAAGTCCCTCCCCTTCTCTGGGCCTTGGTTTTCTCATCTGAAGAATGAAGTATACAGCCCAGCACTGACAGACTCCTTCCTCCTCAGTTCTGGCCTTCTCTGATTCTGTGGCTCCAAAGCTGAGACCCTCCAGGAGATCCGGGAACTTGTCAAGGCCCCCAGGAGGTAGCAAGGCTAGCTGGGGTGTGGGATGCTTGGGTTCCTTTCTACCCACAAGGGCCTTGCCCCTGTTCATCCTGGCCTGCCCTGGTACCCTGGGCCTCCCTTAGCCCCTGCCCTTGCCTCTCCCTTCACAGTCCCTTCCACATACTTGCAGGTAAAGCCTGGAGCTGAGGATGGGACCCCACTGCACCCACCCAGGTCCTTTCCTTCTTCCCTCCCTCCCTGGCGCCCATTAGCTAGCCCAGGCCGTGGGGGCGGTGGCTGCTGAGTCTCCGTGCCAGGCCCAGCCCCCAGAGACGCACCTGTTCTGACCTGCTGAGCAGGTTCCCAGGTTTCTGCCGTCGTTGTTGGCCACAGCGTGGGAAGCAGCTCTGGGGGAGCTCGGAGCTCTGGATCACGGCTTCTTGGGGGTAGCTACGGCTGGGTGGGTAGAACGGGGCCGGGGCTGGGTCCCCCAGTACAGACCCAAGTACGAGAGGCAAGAACTCTGCAGCTTCCTGCCTTCTGGGTCAGTTCCTTATTCGTCTGCAGCTGGCTCCCAGGGAGATCTCAGTGGAACTTCCGAAACGCTGGGCAGTCTGCCTTTCAACCATGCCCCTGTCCCTGGGAGCCGAGATGTGGGGGCCTGAGGCCTGGCTGCTGCTGCTGCTACTGCTGGCATCGTTTACAGGTAGGACTTGCCTGAACCATCAGGACACTTGCTTCTGAGCCCAACCCGGCACTGACACACATGCACAAACACATAGACACATGCATGCACACACACATTCTCCTTCCTTTGACTCTGAACTGAGGAGCCAGTCTCTCTCTCCCACCCCCAGCTTCCAGCAGTGCCCCCAGAAAAGCCAGTATAGCCCTTCCCCTTCGTGTTTCCTCCCAGCCCCCAGGCCAGGTCACTATGTCTGGGATCCCTGACACCTCTGCCAAAGCCTTGCCTAGGCCTGAGCTGTCTTGGGGAATAGAGACCCAGTGCAGATGGGCAGGGAGATGGGACTTGTGAGGATTCTTTTCACCCCAGGGTTTCCTGGAGGTGCCTTGGCCTACCCCCTGGGCTCTAGAACGGCTGCCTGGAACTGGGGCTGACTCAGGGCTCAGCTGGTTTCGGCAGTCATCAGGGTGCTGGAAGCCTGATGCCCACAGAGTGGATGGGGGATTTCTGTTTCCTTCTCTTCTCTCCATGATGTTCTAGAGCACCAGGACTGGGGCACCTGTTGGGGACTATAGGAGAACTGAGAATGCCTGTCACTCTTACCCCTCCCTTTCCCTGGACACAGTATTAGGTGCCAGGGTGGTAATAAGGGGGTTTAGATAGGTGGGGGTCTAAGATAGGGAACCATCTAGATAGGATGTGGTCCCCTTTTGTTCATCTCCTGTTCCCCCATTTTCTTAACTAGATGCCTTGTATTACTCCTCACCTCCTGTCTGTCTAATGTATATACAGCAAATATGAATTATAGGAATGTATAATCTTCAGAGTAGAGGAGAGTGTGTGTGCGTGTGTGTGCACAGTGAGACTCAGTGGGATTCCATAGGCTGTTCCTAGGGTAATGAGTAACAGAAATCTTTCTCCTTCAAAAGATGGGGCCTGATCTGGATAGGACAGTTTGATTCTCGGGCCCAGGAGCAGTAGCAAGGGAGCCTCTGTTGCCCAGCAAGATCCGGCAGTGATTCCCCCACCTCCATCTCCAGCCGAAGCTTTGAGGAGGGGAATACGGCCTAGATGTGTGGATTGATGGAGGTATGGGCTGCTCCCACTCTGATTTTATAATAGGTCATGGCTCAGCCTCCAGTCGTAGGATACTCAGCTCCTACGCCTGCCATCTCCTCACAGTCCCCTACCACCTGTGTTTTAATTCCCATTTTCCAGAAAATCCTTCTCAACTTGTTTAGGCCAAAAAGGTGGAGCCTAGTTGCTGGAGTCGGGGAACCAGCAGTCACTTTCCTGTGGGATCTACCCACACCTAAAGAGTGGAGTCATGCCATCTCAGGACTTGGAAGAGATCAAAGAGATTACCACTCCAACTCTCTCATTTTACAGATGAAAAAACTGAGAGAGAGAGGCAAGTGAGATCTTCAAGATAACTCAACGTTAGGAGTTGACACACACACACACACACACACACACACACAATCTCTTTCCTTTGACTCTGAACTGAGGAGCCAATCCCTCTCTCCCAACCCCAGCTTCCAGCAGTGCCCCCAGAAGAGCCAGTGTAGTCCTTCCCTTTCATGCTCCCTCCCAGCCCCCCAGGCCAGGTCACTACGTCTGGAATCCCTGATTATCTCTGCTCAGTGTTAGGAGTATGACAAGGGTTAGTGTCTTGGTGTTCTGATTCTAAGTTCATTGAAGAATAGTACATTTGAATGCACACTGGATACAGCCTGGATACTAGATGCTGGAGATGCAATGGTGACTGCATCACATGGTTTTTGTCTTCCTTTTCCATGATGGCAAAACTATTCTTACTAAGAGAAGCCCAGGGAAGGGGAAAGGAGACCCCCTTCTAGTTAGACCTCATGCAATTCCTGACAGTAAGGGAGGAAGCTTGGCTCCAGATTGCCCCAGGAAGCTGGTAGCTGGTAGGAGGCCACTCCACTGCACTCCCGCACTCCGCTGCACAGAGCTGAGGTTGCTCTGGGGGCTGGAGACTACTAGCCTGAGGATCAGATGGTCCTACCTCCACTACCACCCCCATTCTGGCTCTTCTGTATATAGACTCTCTTAAATGGCTCCCAGGAATCTGGAATGTTTCATGTCTCTGAAAAAAATCCTTGGACTGGGAAGTCAGGAGTCTTGGGTCCAGATCCCGTTTCCGCTATTAATCTATTTGGTAACCTTGGGCAGCGATGAAACCAGACTTCAGTAGACCAAGAGCTAGGACCAGATCATCTCTACTGACCTTCCAGCTCAAATACGATGACTCTGTGATATTCCAGCCCTGGTTGAAGTGGGGTGCTGTGGTGTTGGAAAGGTCACTGGATCTAGTTGTGGAGATAGGAGGAGGAAAGGGGTTCTGGTCCCATCTCTCAGAGGGTACCAGCGTACCTTTCCCCAGAATACTGCCTTCCTGGCCCTACTGCAAATTCACCCCCCACCCAAATCCTAGGCCATTAGAGCTCTGAGCCCCAGGGCCCTGCCCCACCCCTGACAGGGAAAGGAGCCCAGGCTTGGGAGGCGCCTCAGCACCACAGCTCTTTGTCTCTCCTTAATGGGTTGAGTTTCCGGGTGAGGTCTCCTCCCTTCTCCCTCCCCCATCTCTTGCCCTGGGGCTGAGGGACCCAAATCCATGAGACACCCCTTCCCCCATTAGGATCCTAGTCCCTAGCTCTTTGTCTGAGTGGTGGTGAGTGGTGGTGCTCTGCATTCTGAGGTCTGCCTTCTGGGGGTTAGGATCAGCTTTCTGTCTCAGGTTAGTTTCCTCAAAAGGGAGGGGCCCATCCTTACTTTTCTACTGTTTACAGAGGGGGGCAGGCCCTTTCCTGTAGGACCTACCCAAACCTGGGAAAGCCAGCAAGGGAGGTGGTGAGAACCGGGAGAATCCCAGGGAAGCCCTGTGACCTCAGTGACCTTGTTCCCACCCTAGTGTTTCAGGAGGCTGGGCCAAGGAGACCCTAGCTACAGAGATGGTGATGAGGACGTTAGAGTTCATGATTCCATCAGGTGGACCAGAGCCTCAGGATCTGGGGGTTCTCTGGGCAAAGTGAATGGGGATTAGCTACTTTGGGGCACAAACCCAGTGAGAAGAGAATGATTGGATGTTCTGGCCTCCAAAAATTTGCCCTTGCTCTGACCGAAGTCTAGGCAGAGAGAAGCGATGGAGGTGATATGGGGAATGAAGTCAGAAGGGAAGGGAGTAGAGGAGTCTAGGGTCTAAATTTGGGAAGAGAATCTAAAATGAGGAGGGGGCCAGGCATGGTGGCTCACGCCTGTAATCCCAGCACTTTGGGAGGCCAAAAGCAGGTGAATCCCTTGAGCCCAGGAGTTTGAGACCAGCCTGGGCAACATGGCGAAACTCCATCTCTACAAAAAATACAAAAGTTAGCCAGGCATGGTGGTGTACCTGTGGTCCCAGCTACTTGGGAGGATTGCCAGAATCCAAGGAGACTGACGTTGCAGTGAGCCGTGATCACACCACTACACTCACACCACTACACTCCAGCCTGGGTGACAGAGTGAGACTTTGTGTCAAAAAAACAAAAAACAAAAAAAAAAAAAAAGAAGAGGTGAAGTTCAGAACTGGGGAGGCATCTGCCATGCCTCCTGAAGGAAGGCTGTGGAGAAGGTGGCTGAGGTCACTCTTTCACTGGAACAGGCAGCCTCTGGCCTCGGGAGATTTTCTCATAGTTTTCTGGCCACCCCCACCCCCTCCCCTCTAAATCTGGTGTGTCCTGAGAGCTGGAGTTGAGGCTGTGATTTGGGACGGGGCAGAGCAAGCCATGGTGGGTGGAGGGGCAGTGTGGAGCAGGGGTTAGGATCTCAGGAGTTTGGGAGAAGCTGAATCCTGGGTCTCCCACCCACAGTGTGGCTGTTGTGGTGACTCAGCCAGGCTCAGACTCTGGCTCCGGGGGGTTTAGGGGACTTATCTGTGCTGGGAGCTGTGTCTGGGCCAGAGCCGGGGCTGCCTCAAGGCCTGTCCTCCCCATTGTTCTCATCTCCCTTTGTGATTGTGTGGCCCCCCTCCCCAGACACTAATCTGTGGGTGGGCATTCTGCCCAGGCTGGGAAGCTCTCACTAAGCTGGGGGGCTTAGAACAATGGGGGGTAAGTGAGGGAGGCGAATGAAGGTGGAGAGGGAATCTTCTGGCTTTTAAAGTTCCTTAGCACTCCAAAGCCAAGGTTATGGGGAAAAGAGTGGATGGAAAGGGGTCTGCTGGGTTGTTTGTGTCACCTGTCCTGGATGGGGAGTTTCGGTACATCCCTCCCAGGTCCTTTCTCACCCCAAACTCACGCACATACTCCGGCTCTCTCGGGTGGAGGTTGTTGCTGTAAGGGGAGGCAGGAGTTAACAAAGGAGCATGAGACCCTAGACAGCCTGGACCCCTCCCCCTAGCCCCAGGCAGGATTCCCCTCACCCCCTACAAACCCACACCAGACAACCCTTACCCAGGTCTGGAACCAGAGCTGGTTTTTCTGGTAGTGGCAGCAGCAGAACCCTGACAGAGATTTCCAGGGAGAGGCCTCCTTCGGGGGCCAGAGCTGCTGAGGGACCCAGGGGAGTGGCTGGGGGTAGTGGTGAGAAATGTGGGAGTCCTTTTAATAGGAACCTGAGGAGCAAGGGGAAAGGGAACGTTTGTTTTGTTCCGCTGGGGAGTCCTTAATGGCAAGTTCCCATCACCTGGAGGGACAGTGACCTCATCTCTAGGTACTTCCACCTTGAGCCTGAGACGAATCTGTCCTCAAGTCTTGGGGTGAGATGGGGAGGGATGCTGGGGGTGACATTCCAGGCAGGATGCAGAGGCAAAGGCTCAGAGCCACATACCACTGACCAAGGGCAGCTGGGACAGAGAGACACGTGGAAGCCAAGATAAACCGACAGCAAAATATTTACTATGTGTGCAGAGTTCCGCGAGACAAGAATGCACTCCATGCATACAGAGGGTGTGACACGCACACGGAATCGTGTGTGCACACACGTTCACACATACCGGTACATAGCTCTTCCCTCTGGACACAGACAAGTAAGTACATATATGCCCCTAAGATAAGACATGAACACATATATGTGCCCAACACCCACCAGTTTATGCAAGGAGATAGCCTCACATGCTTTTGAATCAGCACTAAGACAGGCCAGGCCCTCAGCCACAGCTCCCATTATACAAAAAACTCATACTTACTCCCTCCTTCTCAGACACCCATCTCTAGTACCCCTACATTCACACCTGTAAGTCGCAGCAGGGGATCCTGATGGAGAAAGGCCCCTCATAAAGAAAACCTACTTCCTTAAAGATGCTCTTGATGGCTGGGTATCAGCAAGTACCAGCCTCAGTTTCCCTTCCTGAGATCAGAGGCCAGGCTCACATAGAAAGGAAAGTTGAGACCCAGGCATAGGGTGGGGAACAGCCAGCCAGCCCAAACCTGGAATGGAGGGCCTGTCTGGGAGCGGGCGGGGTACACAAAGGGCTGGGCTCCAAAGAGGCCCGTGGGGGCCTGGCCAGGGTGGGGGAGGCCAAGGGCAGGGATCCCGTCTGGCCAGTTGGGCCTGTTCTCTCCCTTGCGCAAGGTGGTGGTGGCTGTGGCTAGGCTTGCTGCTGTGCAGCAGCTTCTGAGTCACCAAGGCTCCTGACCAGCGTCCTGGTGCTCCAGGGAGGAGGGGTGGGAGGGTCAGAGGGAGGAGTGTCCAACCAGCCCAAGTCCACCAGCCTCAGCCAACAATTTGCAACAGAAGGGTCCATGGGCTTGGCCTGGTCTGGCCATCACATGCCCGCAAGGTGACCTCACCAGGCAGGCAATGTGTCTCCTTTGGTCTGATGACATCATCATGCTGACGCCAGGCTGACATTGGGTGGAGGAGAGAAGGAGGAGGCAGTCCTGGCCTGCCCTGGCCTGGAAGCCTGGACTCCTGGGTCTGTTTAGCCAAGGACAGGGATTCTAGGGCTCAAATTCTATTTTCTCTTCTCTTGTACCCTAGGGTGGTAGAGGGGTATGCAACTGGAGGAGGGTGTTGCCTCAGGCTGAGATGTTCCTACTAAATAGTGGATTTAGAACAATGAGGATCTGTGGGAGATATCCAGAAAGGAATTTCCTGTTTTACTGGGTTCCTTGGTCTGAGAAGCTTCAGTTTGTCCCCTAGGGGTGGGGATCATCGACTCACAGGTGAGAATATGGAGGATTGAGATTCAGGCATGCGCTGGATATCTAATGCCTGCTGTACCCTAAGAAGGTATTTTCCAAGGGAAATATAGGTGATTAGTGGTGGGGAGGCAGCAGGTGGTTGACTAGTATAGGAATAGGGTTGGAAAATATGCCATCTGATGTTGTTTCAGAAATAGTCTTTAGAAAGGTTTGAGTATCCCAGTGGGGCAGGTCTTGGGATCCCTGTGACCTTCACAGACAACAGCGTTTGAAGCAGAGGATATGTTGTGCTGGAGATCCCTACCCAAGCTCACTCGCAGCCCTTCCTTGGCAGCCCTGTTCTTTCCAGTGCCAGGAGGAGAAGAAGCCTGGGATGGGTGCGGGTGGTTAGCTGGACTCCCAGGCAGGGCTGGGTGGGACCAACATTAGCTTAGGCAGGTCAGGGCCCTGGTATCTGGCCCTGCAGGTCTATCCTGTCCCATCTGGGACCTTTTAGCACCCAACAGCATCCTTCTTCCTTCTCCTGGTAGCAGCGCCACAGGAACCCCTTCCTGTGCTCTGTGTGCTGCCTCACTAAAACCCTCTGATCCATTCTAGTGGAGCTTCATTTCCTCCCTTCATGCCTGCCTCCTTCCATTCCTATTTTTTTCCTCTGTCCAGTCTGGAGGTGCTCCCTTTGCCAGTGAACCCAATTAGCTAGCTAGCCCAGCCTATCCTGCCTCCGCCCCAGGGTTACCATGTAGTGTTCCTCCCTGGCCAGCCCAATGCTTGTTCCTCCTCATTCTTGTTTTTTATCTTTTTCTTTTTTTTTTTTTGGTACAGCATCTCACTTTGTTGCCCAAGCTGGAGTGCAGTGGAATGATTAGCTCACTGCAACTTCCACCTGCTGGGTTCACCAATTCTCCTGCCTCAGCCTCCCGAGTAGCTGGGACTACAGGCGCCCACCACCACGCCCGGCTAATTTTTGTATTTTTAGTAGAGACAGGGTTTCACCATGTTGGCCAGGCTGGTCTCAAACTCCTGAGCTTGGGTGATCTGCCTGCCTCAGCTTCCCAAAGTGCTGGGATTAAAGGTGTGAGCCACTCTGCCCAGCCTGTTCCTCCTCATTCTACACTTTTCTTCTGTCTCTCTCATTTATTAATTCACCTGTTCATTCATTCAGTCAGTCAATAAATGTTGATGGAACCCACATACCACTGAGCACTAAATCAGAAACAATGGTTCCATATGTGACATGAGGCCCAGAAAACAGGGATAAAGTGCTGTGACAGGAGTGAAAGCAGGGTGATGAGGAGAACAGAGGAAGGGCACCTAAAGCTGCCTGAGGTGGGGGTGGGAGGAGGGAGGACTCCTGGAGGAAATGATGCCTAAGCAGAGTCTTAAATGATGAGTAGGCGCTACCAGACATAGGGAGGAGGGCATTCCAGGCAGGGGGTATTGTGTGAGCAGAGGTGAGGAACAAGGTGTGTGGCTTGCTGGGCAGAGGCAGGGACAACACACTGTTGGGGATTGCCGGGGCACGCATTGCAAAGCAAGGAGCTCTTGCCATCCCAGCAGGTTCTTTTGCTCTGCTCCCAGGCCCCAATCCCCATATTTCACTTTTGATTCCATGACTCCAAATTTATTTCTTCCCAACAATGAACATCCTCGGGTCCTGTCTCCCTCATAAGTTACTCATCCTAGACATTTAGGAGCTGTCTTTGAGTCTTTCCTCTCCTTCATCTTTCTTTCTGGTCCGTGACCAAATCCCTGTCAAATCTCCCCCTGGAACTGTCCCCTCCTATCCCCTCCTAGCACTACTGCGCCCAGGCTGCAGCTGCAGCCTTCAGTGACTGCCCCTCACCACTTGCTCATGGCACTCCCTTGCTAAGGAACCTTCAGTGACCCCCCATTTCCTCTTGACCAAGTCTGAATTCCTTTGCTCCTATGGAAGGTTCCCCAGTGATTTGGCCCCACCCTGCCCCAACCATATTTTCCACTCCTGCTCAACACACACACCCTGTATTAGGGCTGAGTCCTCTCCTCTTTGCTTCCTGAACAAGCCACCTTCTCCATCTCCTTGGTGTTTGCTCACCTTGGTCCCTGACTTAGTAGGCCTTTCTAGGCCTCTCTGCCTCCTAATCCTACCCAACTCATGCATGGGGCCCTCCCGAATGATTCAGTCCCATAGTGATTGCCCCATCCCACAGTTGGCCTATAACACACCCCTGAGCGCTAAATCAGAAACCATCATCACATGTTTCCATATGTGTCTCCATATGTATCTCTTGCTCCTGAGCAGACCTCAAGTCCCATGAGAGCAAGGAGTGGATCCTTACTTGCAGATAAGGTAACATGATGGATAGTTCTGATTCCAGAATTCCTGAGGGTTTCATTAATATGCAGAATACTAGCCCTTTGTCCTAGCCCTTTGTCCCTTGTCCTCTGATTCTGGCTTACAATTCTGACCCCGTTGCTGTGTGCCTGCTCTGATCTCATCTCTCTGGGCCTCTGACCTGGGCCCTTTCTGTCTTTAGTGGCTTGCTCATTCCTGCCTCTGAGCCTTGGTTCATGCCTTTCCTCCCACATGGAACACTTCCTGAGCTTTGGGAATCCAGGTCTCTCATCTTCAAGCCATGAAAAGAATGTTCCAAAGGGCCTACTGAATAGACCCTTCCTACCCTATGTGACCCATTCCAGACACCAACAGTTTTGGATTCTTGCCGTGGCTCCCGGCCACACTTTATGAAACTATCCACTTTTTCCTGGTTGGTGGGTTGAACCTGCTCTGAAAGTTTGTTCATGGCTTTCCCTGTTTCTTTGTGCATAAATTCCATCTCCCTGATGACTGTGAGCTCCCTGAGGGCAGAGGCTGGGTCTCCTGCTCTGTTACAACCTCCCACCTTGCAACTGCTCAGGATACAATCCTAGGCTGCAAGAGGGTGTGAGTCTTCCATAAATCGTCTGTGTGGCCTTAGGCAAGCCACTTCCTCTCTCTGGGTCTCAGTTTCCTCATCTGTTAAAGGGTGATAATAACACCTACCTCTTGGGAATGTTTTGTAGATTTAATAAGGTAATGAACTGAATGTGCTTTGCAAGCACAAAATGTTTCAGGAGTTCCGGCCACCTTTGCTGTCATTATCATTATGAATGTGCTCCCCCAGCTCTGGCAGCACCCTTAATCGTGGTTGTCCCTGTCTCCCCTCCGCAGGCCGGTGCCCTGCGGGTGAGCTGGAGACCTCAGACGTGGTAACTGTGGTGCTGGGCCAGGACGCAAAATTGCCCTGCTTCTACAGAGGGGACTCCGGCGAGCAAGTGGGGCAAGTGGCATGGGCTCGGGTGGACGCGGGCGAAGGCGCCCAGGAACTAGCGCTACTGCACTCCAAATACGGGCTTCATGTGAGCCCGGCTTACGAGGGCCGCGTGGAGCAGCCGCCGCCTCCACGCAATCCCCTGGACGGCTCGGTGCTCCTGCGCAACGCAGTGCAGGCGGACGAGGGCGAGTACGAGTGCCGGGTTAGCACCTTCCCCGCCGGCAGCTTCCAGGCGCGGCTGCGGCTGCGAGTGCTGGGTAAGTGGGGCTCTCTGGGGATGGTCTGAGCTACTGTGGATGCAGGGGGAAGCAGAGATTGGAATTGCAGAGATGAATGGGGCAGAAGTAGAACAGGAATAAAATGTAGGGTCCTGTTCAGGTGAGGGAGCTTCATCCAGCTAGCTATCCTTGTACCCAATCCAGAAATTCTCTCCAAGTAACCCCAAAAGCTGGGGAAGATTCCATTTATTAGGAAGTTCTTCCTTCCGACGACATGAAACTCCCTCTGTTACTTTTGCCCTGTGGCAATATGGCACGGCTTATTCTCTTTTCTGCACAACAACCTTTCCAAAAGCAGAGGCCCTTTGTCATGCCCCACCCAAATCTACTCTTCTCCAAGCTAAACTTACTGGTTCCTGACACAGTTCCACCAAAGACAGTTTAAAAGCCTCTCTCACCATCCTGTGCTCCATGTTTTTTTTTTTACGATGTGGGTCCTGAATGTGGACACAGGCCCAGCAATGGTGTGGCCATACGCGACCAGTGGGGCTAATACCTTCCTTGATATGGACCTTCAGTGAATGTGGTCTGAGATCACAATCACTTTTTAAAATTTTTAATTTAATTTAATTTAATTTTTTTCGGACGAAGTCTCGCTCTGCTGCCCAGGCTGGAGTGCAGTGGCGCGATCTCGGCTCACTGCAAGCTCCGCCTCCCGGGTTCACGCCATTCTCCTGCCTCAGCCTCCCGAGTAGCTGGGACTACAGGCGCCGCCACCACGCCCAGCTAATTTTTTTTTGTATTTTTAGTAGAGACGAGGTTTCATCGTGTAAACCAGGATGGTCTCGATATCCTTACCTCGTGATTCGCTTGTCTTGGCCTCCCAAAGTGCTGGGATTACAGGCGTGAGCCACTGCGCCCGGCCACAATCACTTTTTAAACCATCACTTTATATTGCAGGCACTTGTGGTCAACTCTGGACTTATGGTCAAGTCTTTTCCATTCTGTGTTAATATTTTGAAGATAAAAATAAAGGTTTTTTTGCTGGGTGAGGTGACTCACACACTGGAATCCCAGCACTTTGGGAGGCTGAGGTGGGCAGATCACCTGAGGTCAGGAGTTCGAGACCAGCCTGGCCAACATGATGAAACCCCATCTCTACTAAAAATACAAAAATTAGCCAGGCGTGGTGGCTCATGCCTGTAATCCCAGCTACTCAGGAGGCTGAGGCGGAGAATCACTTTAACCCGGGAGGCGGAGATTGCAGTGAGCTGAGATTGTGCCACTGCACTCCAGCCTGGGCGGTAGAGGGAGACTCAGTCTCGAAAGTAAATAAATAAATATAAATAAATAAATAAATACAATAAAGGTTTTTATAGTTCCCCTTTATTCACATATAAGTTAATAACATCAGCCTTGGAGTAAAAAAAAAAAAACCCAAGTGTAAATCTAGGCTTTGTCACCTAATAGCTGATGACTTGGGACAGTCACTTAACTTCCTTGTGCTTTGGTTTCCTCATCTGGAAAATAGAGATAATAATACCTAACTCACTGTTTGTTGACAGAATTTGAGATAACATTTATAAAATATTTAGCATAATAGTTGACACATAGTAAGTGCTTACTAGGTGGTGGTTATCATTATTATGTAGATGATATCTGGTTAGTTTTTTAATTACTTCATTATTTTTATTTTTTAAAATGACCTATGTTCATTGTAAAAAATTCACACAGTAGGGAAGGATACAAAGTCACCTCAATTTCTACCATTCATCTGTGTCTCCATGAAGTAAGAGAAGGAAAGGGGGCCTGAAACTTGTTTTGTGGTTTTTTTGGTTGTTGTTTTTTTGAGGCGGAGTCTCACTCTGTCGCCCAAGCTGGAGTGCAGTAGCGTGATCTCGGCTCACTGCAACCTCCACCTCCCATGTTCAAGCGATTCTCCTGCCTCAGCCTCTCGAGTAGCTGGGATAACAGGCACCCGCCACAACACCCGGCTAATTTTTTATATTTTTAGTAGAGACAGGGTTTCACCATATTGGCCAGGCTGGTCTCGAACTCCTGACCTCGTGATCCGCCTGCCTCGGCCTCCCGAAGTGCTGGGATTACAGGTGTGAGCCACCGTGCCCAGCCCAGGGGCCTGAAAGTTTGTACTTGCACAAGACTGAAATGCGATGAGTGGGGGCCCCCTAACAGGGGTTGTGCAGACCTGTGACCCCTGCCTTTCCCCATTTTCAGTGCCTCCCCTGCCCTCACTGAATCCTGGGCCAGCACTAGAAGAGGGCCAGGGCCTGACCCTGGCAGCCTCCTGCACAGCTGAGGGCAGCCCGGCCCCCAGCGTGACCTGGGACACAGAGGTCAAAGGCACAACGTCCAGCCGTTCCTTCAAGCACTCCCGCTCTGCCGCTGTCACCTCAGAGTTCCACCTGGTGCCTAGCCGCAGCATGAATGGGCAGCCACTGACTTGTGTGGTGTCCCATCCTGGCTTGCTACAGGACCAAAGGATCACCCACATCCTCCATGTGTCCTGTAAGTACTTGGATGCTTGGATAGGGAGGCCCAAGGGGTTCTGAGCAGATTGGTGGGACGCCATAGGTCCCTGAGCCAGGCCGGGCTGGTCAACCTGGGTCCTGGAGGCTACAGTGTGTAAGAGAGCACTAGTCCAAATGTGGAAGACCTGGAGCCCGATCCCAGAGGATAGACCTCTCTGAGCTTCTGTGTCCTTATCTTTAGAAAGGAGATTGCCCTGCTTCACGGGGTTGTTGGGAGAATCAACTATAAATATGGAATTGAAGACACTTTCTAAAATATTCGTTTAGGATTTGGAAACAGATAAACTTAGACAAGCCCTAGTTCTACTTACCAGCTGTTATTCAGTTGTGTTAGGCTTCATTTTCTTTATCAGCAAAATGAGTATAATTATTTATAACTCATACCAACTTTAGACGGTTTTGACGGGAATTAGAAATTATGAACGCAGAGCAACTCACCCAGTGCTTAGCGCATTGAAGGCGCTTGGTAAATGGTAGATACTATTTTCCCAGTGTTAGATTTCAAGCTTCTGGAGGGGATAAGACTGTTTTCAGCATTTGGCTCAAAGTAGGTCCTCAACAAATGTTTGTTGAAGAAATGAACGAACTAGTAGGATTGTTACACTTTTGAAGAATCAGGCAACATTTATTCAGCACCTGTTCTGTGACTAGCACTATGCTAGGCAACACGGGACATCCAGAAAATGTGTGATGGATCACTACCTTGAGGGACTTATGGCCTCATTGTACAGGTAAACCAATATAGACTCTCTGAGCTTAGAGAGGGGAGGGAACAGTGTGGCCAGGAGCTGTCAGCAGGGTGGGGCTGAGCTAGGTTTGGCAGCAGATGAGTAGGATGGAGAAGGGCAAGGGAGGGTATTTCAGGCAGGGTGGGGTGGGGGCAGAGCCCTTTGAGGTACCACATGATCAAAGGCATCATTCCCATTCTTTCTCCTCCCCCCTCCCATTCCAGTCCTTGCTGAGGCCTCTGTGAGGGGCCTTGAAGACCAAAATCTGTGGCACGTTGGCAGAGAAGGAGCTATGCTCAAGTGCTTGAGTGAAGGGCAGCCCCCTCCCTCATACAACTGGACACGGTAAGGGCCCGAGCCTGGGGAAGGCCTAACTTGAGACTAGGTTCCTACCCTCTCAGGGCCAGGGTATACTCACTATGGGATGGGACAATATATTCTGAGCCCCCAAATAAGTTGGGGTATGTGTTCACATCTCTTGTATTATTATACTCATTGTACAAGAATATGCATGGTCACCATATATTATTGGCTTGCCCAGGGAATCTAAGATTCATGGTCATTAGTAGGGAATAAATGGATGAGCCCTTAAATTTTTTGTCTTTTATTTTATTTTTGTTTTGAGAGTCTCGCTCTGTTGCCAGGCTGGAGTGCAGTGGTGCGATCTCGGCTCACTGCAACCTCCACCTCCTGGGTTCACGTGGTTCTCCTACCTCAGCCTCCTGAGTAGCTGGGACTACAGGCGCCCGCCACCACCCCCAGCTAATTTTTGTATTTCTAGTAGAGACAGGGTTTCACCATGTTGGCCAGGCTGGTCTCGATCTCAAGACCTCGTGATCTGCCCACCTTGGCCTCTGAAAGTTCTGGGAATACAGGCGTGAACCACCATGCCTGGCCCTTGTCTTTTATTTTTATTTTTTTTGAGATGGAGTTTCACTCTGTTGCCCAGGCTGGAGTACAGTGGCGCGATCTTGGCTCACTGCAACCTCCGCCTGCCAGGTTCAAGAGATCCTCCTGCCTCAGCTTCCCAAGTAGCTGGGATTACAGGTGTGCGTCAGCATGCCCAGCTAGTTTTTTGTATTTCTAGTAGAGTCGGGGTTTCACCATGTTGACCACACTGGTCTTGAACTCCTGACCTCAGGTAATCCGCCCGCCTCAGCCTCCCAAAGTGCTGGGATTATAGGCGTGACCATGCCTGGCCTTGTCTAACTTTTAAATTGTGAAATATAACACAATATTTCGATATTAATATTTTGCATATTTATGTGAATGCATAAAGTGCACAAGACAACTGTGTCTTTTTGCAGTTGTTAAGCCAACACTCCTATAACCACCACAATATTGCCAGCACCTCGAAAACACCCACTACCTCCAGTTCCCTCAAGGCATCCTTGGCCTTTTTCCAAGGTCTGAAATATCTAGAGAGTCAGGGAGAGGTTGGGTACACATGTGTGTGAGCCCATGACGGGCATGTTCTCACATGTAAGCATATGAGCGATGCATGTGGCCTTGTGCCTGGGGCTATGTTCATGTATCCTGCCACGCAACATCACGGGTGTTGGAGCAGACAGTCACATTTTCCAATTACCTCTACACCCAGCTAGAAGTGGAGTGTCCTGTTGGGTGGACTTTATAACATGTGTACCTGGTACCCAGTGTTGGATGACGTGATGCCTGTGGAAGCATGTGGGATGGCACACGTGTGGATCTTCCCCGGGTGTGTGTAGGGGGTGCCCAGGTCAGGCTGGGCAGCAGGGAGAAAGGACTTCTGCCTAGACCTGCCTGGTGGAGGGAGGGACACCGTGGGAACAGCCGGCGGCTCTGGGTGACGTCATGGGGGTGGAGGGTGGAGAGCTGTCTGGACACGTTGGGTGATGGTGGCTTCAGCCCTTCCGGGCTGGCACCCTTCAGCTTCCCTGTCTTCCAGGCTGGATGGGCCTCTGCCCAGTGGGGTACGAGTGGATGGGGACACTTTGGGCTTTCCCCCACTGACCACTGAGCACAGTGGCATCTACGTCTGCCATGTCAGCAATGAGTTCTCCTCGAGGGATTCTCAGGTCACTGTGGATGTTCTTGGTAAGCACCGGGGCAGAAGAAACAAGGGACCTGGGCCAAGGGCTTGGTGGGGGCAGCGGGAAGCAAGACACAGACAGTGAATTGGGCAAGTGTTTATTCAGTGGGGGCTGGACTGTGTGTCTTTTGCAGAGAGTCAAACTGAGGTGTGGTTTTAGATGTTTTGTAGGGGAGCTGTGAGGTCTGGGGTGGGTTGTGGCTGCAGGCTTCCACCTCAGACAGTGGCCTATCTCCAGCAGACCCCCAGGAAGACTCTGGGAAGCAGGTGGACCTAGTGTCAGCCTCGGTGGTGGTGGTGGGTGTGATCGCCGCACTCTTGTTCTGCCTTCTGGTGGTGGTGGTGGTGCTCATGTCCCGATACCATCGGCGCAAGGCCCAGCAGATGACCCAGAAATAGTGAGTACTGGGCACTCCTGGGTGGGTAGAACTAAGCTGAGAACAAAGAAGAGGATAGCAGGAGGTGGGCCAGGACCGAGGAGACTGGGTGGCCTGAAAACTGAGGAGTTTCAGACTAGAGGTGGGCAGGGTCTTTCTAGGGCTGAGGAGGAGCTAAGGGTCTGGAGCGCAGATGGAGCACTCAATCCTTCCACCTTAGTGAGGGTCAGATCCATGTGCCTGGGTGTCGCCAAGTATGCACACGCACACAGCACACACATGCTCTTCAGCTGCACTGCCATCTGCAGCCACACACTCACACTTGCAGGGCCAGCACGGCACCCACACCCTCCAGGCCTATCTCACTAGGCTCAGCCAGGATAGGCTCACCTTGGAAGGCTGCCGCTACCCTCAGCTCCTGACAAGGGTATGTCTTTCCCAGTGAGGAGGAGCTGACCCTGACCAGGGAGAACTCCATCCGGAGGCTGCATTCCCATCACACGGACCCCAGGAGCCAGGTGTGTGCCAAGGTCGGGTGCATGCATGCAGGAGTGTGGTCACATTGGGGTCTGCTTGTGCCTGGGCCTCTCTGCAGACCAGGAGCACAGCTCTCTGCTGGGTCAGCCACTGACTCACAGCTGGGGCTGGCTAGGGTAGAGTTGAGAGGGTGTAGTTGCTTTGGGTCTGCTAGGGCTGCTCCAGAAGGTTCCCTTCAGCATTGGCCTAGGGCCTTCTCTGGGAAGCCACCATCAGTTCTGCTTCCAGGGTGGGTTTGGGGTGGCAGTGGGGAAATGAGGATGTTTGTTTCCAAGAGAATGGACCTGTTGGGTTGGGGGACAGGTGAGTAGGGAGGAGGCTGGTGGAGGACAAGAGGGGAAAAGGCTGAGGGGAGGAGGCTGAGCCCTGTTCTAACTCCCCCATGTCTGGGCCCTGCAGCCGGAGGAGAGTGTAGGGCTGAGAGCCGAGGGCCACCCTGATAGTCTCAAGGACAACAGTAGCTGCTCTGTGATGGTGAGGCCCCCGGCCCCACCGGTGTCCCCACCACTCTCCTCGGGCCCCTGTCCTGGTCCCAGATATGGTGCGTCAGCAGCCCACTTACCAGTCCCTCTCGCCTTAGCCCTGGCTCATGCAGCCCAGCACCGCATCTCTGCTACATCTTTGTTCTCCCGTCTCCCCCTCCCCATGCCTAACACTTGTTCCTGGTCCCCGATCTCTGGGCCCCTATGCTTCTGAGGCAACCGTTACCCCTGCTTGTGCCTGGCCTCTGATCCCACCATGACCCAACTGTGCCCCAGCATATCCAGCCACCCTGCTTTGGTTCCTGACTTGCCCTCTGCCCTTGGTCTCCAGAGTGAAGAGCCTGAGGGCCGCAGTTACTCCACGCTGACCACGGTGAGGGAGATCGAAACACAGACTGAACTGCTGTCTCCAGGCTCTGTGCGGACCGAGGAGGAGGAAGATCAGGATGAAGGCATCAAACAGGCCATGAACCATTTTGTTCAGGAGAATGGGACCCTACGGGCCAAGCCCACAGGCAATGGCATCTACATCAATGGGCGGGGACACCTGGTCTGACCCAGGCCTGCCTCCCTTCCCTAGGCCTGGCTCCTTCTGTTGACATGGGAGATTTGAGCTCATCTTGGGGGCTTCCTTAAACAACCCCATTTCTTGCAGAAGATGCTCCCCATCCCACTGACTGCTCGACCTTTACCTCCAACCCTTCAGTTCATCGGGAGGGCTCCACTGATTGAATCTCTCCCAAAATGCGTGCAGGTCACTGTGTGTGTGCATGTGTGCCTGTGTGAGTGTTCACTGACTGTGTGTGTGTGGAGGGGTGACTGTGTCCGTGGTGTGTATTGTGCTATCATATCAGAGTCAAGTGAACTATGGTGTATGTGCCACAGGATTTGAGTGGCTGCGTGGGCAACACTGTCAGGGTTTGGCATGTGTGTCGTGTGGCTGTGTGTGACCTCTGCCTGAAAAAGCAGGTATTTTCTCAGACCCCAGAGCAGTATTAATGATGCAGAGGTTGGAGGTGAGAGGTGGAGACTGTGGATCAGACCCAGGTGTGCGGGCATAGCTGGACCTGAAATCTGCCTCCGGTGTGAGGGAACCTGTCTCCTACCACTTGGGAGCCATGGGGGCAAGTGTGAAGCAGCCAGTCCCGGGGTCAGCCAGAGGCTTGAACTGTTACAGAAGCCCTCTGCCCTCTGGTGGCCTCTGGGCCTGCTGCATGTACATATTTTCTGTAAATAAACATGCGCCAGGAGCTTCTTGCAGGAATACTGCTCCGAATCATTTTTAATTTTTTTCTTTTTTTTTTTCTTGCCCTTTCCATTAGTTGTATTTTTTATTTATTTTTATTTTTATTTTTATTTTTTAGAGATGGGGTATCACTATGTTGCTCAGGCTGGCCTTGAACTCCTGGGCTCAAGCAATCTTCCTGCCTCAGCCTCCCTAGTAGCTGGGACTTTAGGTGTATACCACTGTGCCTGCTTTGAATCCTTTACTAAGAGAAAAAAAATTAAAGAAAGGCTTTAGATTTATCCAGTGTTTACTACTGGGATTGCTTAAAGTGAGGCCCCCCCAACACGAGGGGGTTGATTCCTGTGATTGTGAAAGGGGCTCCTTCCAAGGCATCTTCATGCAGACAACCCCTTGGGAGGGCACCTGAGAGCTGGTGGAGTCTGGAATTAGGGATGTGAGCCTGGTGGTTACTGGGTAAGGTAAAGTTGCATCCACAGTTGTTTGTGATACCTTGGGGAGTTGCTTGGACTTGGTGCCAAGGTCTCCTGTTCCATGGTGGTGTTGGGGAGAGAGAGAGCAGTGATTATAGACTGAGAGAGTAGGAGTTCAGGTGAGGTGAAGGAGGTGCTAGGGGTGAGAATGTCACCTTTCCCTCTGGGTGTTGGATCACTAATTCAAGGCTCTTCTGGATGTTTCTCTGGGTGGGGGCTGGAGTTCAATGAGGTTTATTTTTAGCTGGCACACCCAGATACACTCAGCCAGAATACCTAGATTTAGTACCCAAACTCTTCTTAGTCTGAAATCTGCTGGATTTCTGGCATAAAGGAAAGGCTCCCATCCTTCATTCCCCAGCCAGCCTAGGACTTTGAATGTGGAGCCTGAAGATCTAAGATCCTAATATGTACATTTTATGTAAATATGTGCATATTTGTACATAAAATGATATTCTGTTTTTAAATAAACAGACAAAACTTGTTCTGTCTGGTTCCTGTCTTGCCCCTTGAACTGTGTAAGCTCTGAGTCACATACTCTCTGTCTTGATACCATCCTTCTGGTAGTCCCAAGTAGGGGAGGACTTAGCATGCCTGTAGCTGGGAGGGATAGGGAAAGAATTGGCTTCCACAAGGCCTTTGGCCATCTCTGAGAGTCCCCAGGTAGGAGAGTGGAGCTAAGAACCCTTTCGAGGATGGCCAGTGCCTTAGTTTGCAAAGTGTTTTAAATTCCTTTTTTTTTTTTTTTTTTTTTTTGAGATGAAGTCTTACTTTGTTGCCCAGGCTGGAGTGCAGTGGCACGATCTTGGCTCACTGCAACCTCCGACTCCCAGGTCCAAGCAATTCTCTCACCTCAGCCTCCGGAGTAGCTGGGATTACAGGCGCCTGCCACCACGCTCAGTTAATTTTTGTATTTTTAGTAGAGACGGGGTTTCACCTGTTGGCCAAGCTGATCTCAAACTCCTGACCTCAGGTGATTCACCTGCCTCAGCCTCCCAAAGTGCTGGGATTACAGGGTGAGCCACTGAGCCCAGCCTGAATTCCTTATTGTACTGGAGACTCAACAACAGCTATGTGAAATAGGCAGCAGTGTACCCTTTTTACAGGTAAAGAAACTGAAACCCAAGTTAAATAAGTTGTACAGACTCTTAGAGGTGGGAGCATTTAAAGGTCCTCTAGTCTTCTCCCTTCGTTTTCCTAGGTGTGGAAACTGAGGCTCAGTGAAGTAATGTGATTTGACTGAGGTGCTAGACCCATCAGAGGCAGAACCCAGGCATCCTCCCTTGTGCGTGTGCTTTTTACAGCCCTGTGTCACCTTGCTCCAAGGCAAGCCCCAGGTCTTGGACCCAAGAATTCTGGTCTCTAAGGGAGTCAGTCACCTGCTTACACCCCAGACGCCATCACCCCACCCCAGGGCTCTGACATCACCTTCCCTGACCAATGAACGAAGTCCAAGCAATGGGTGAGGATGTGAATGTCAGCTACCTCCCCCACCCTAGGCCCTGTGGTTGCAAAGATGCTCTAACAGGAAGTGGGTTAAGGAGCTGCACTGCTTCCTGCCCCCTAAAGCTGAGTGGGGCGAGGAGGGCGAGTGCCAGGCTGGGCCACGAGACACAGGACACTGTTTCTTGCCAGGGTCCTGGTAGCTTCCTCTTCAACAGCCACTTCCGTGTGGCCGGGGCCCCAGGGGCAGGAGCTGCTGCCCGTTGCCCAGGCCACCCTCCACCCCCTAGTTGGGAGCCCTGCCTCCCTGGGGCCGGGCCAAGCCCAGCAGCTGGCTGGGATCCCATGGGGGACTGGTAGGGCACAGGTCTTGGGGGACAGAGGTGACCGGGCCAGTGCCCTGGGGCTCTGGCCATGAAGTCTCGGCAGAAAGGAAAGAAGAAAGGCAGCTCGAAGGAGCGGGTTTTTGGGTGCGACTTGCAGGAGCACCTGCAGCACTCAGGCCAGGAGGGTAAGGAGGCCGGCTCAGCTTCTGCGGGGTGGGTGGGGAGGCACTGGGTGTCTGCAGCCCGATGCAGCCTGAAGGGCAGAAGCAGTTTCCGGTTCTCCTGGGGAAGGGGCAGTGGCCTGGGGTCACCATTCAAGAGACCTGTAAGTGGGCAAGACAGGAAATGTGTCTCAGTGAAGAAGGCAGGGCGGCTCCCTTGTGTAACTTTCTGGGGATGGGGTGGCTGAGGGGATAAGAATTTGAGCACCCAGGGAGCAGTGAGGTGGAGGATGGAGAGACTGGAAACCGAGGAGGAGTGGATGAAACAATAGGCAGGTGCCTGGGAACAGGAGAGGGAGGGTGAGGTGAGAGGGTCAGGAGAGGAGTGACTGAAGGGCAAATGATTATCCTTAGGTCTGAATGAAAGGAGACAGGAGAATGGCCCCAGAAGGGTCTCAAGATGGCCCTTGAGGCCGGTGGTTTCCTGGCTGGAGAACACCCAAGGACAAGGTCATGGGCTCTGTTCCCACCGCAGCCTTGCTGGGCTGCAGGGGAGGATGTGGGGCTGGAAATAGCCTCTGCCTCCAGTCTCTGTGATTCTCTTGTTCTCCCTATGCAAAAGAGAAACAGGTTCAAAGTGGGGGGCAAGGGGAGAAGCTGCTGAAATGGGGAAGAATGAAAGAGAGGGCGTGAGGCCTGGCTTGAAGCTGGAGGTGGAGGGTGCAAAGGAGGGTGGGTGTGGAGCTGTCCGTGGAGCTCACCCATCTCCCTCCTTGGGTTAGCTTAGAGTGGGCTTTGAAGCCAGAAGGAACAGGGACAATATCAAGTTCACCACGGGGTCTGGCATGGAGCAGTCACTCAAAATCATTTCTTGATTCAATTTGAAATTGAACCCAGGTATCCTCGCTGCCCAGCCCAGCTTGTTTTTGGCACTTCAAGCTCCTCCTAGAGAAGGGCATAATTCTTTCCCCACTCCACCCCATCCCACCCCACCCCAATCTGTCATTTCCTCTTTGTCCCCTCCTCTGCTCTGGGCTGTGGTGCTTGCAGCGGAGGGAGGGTGATGGTGGTTCCCAGATCATTTCCTGCTCTTAGCCCCACCCCTGCGTCCCCAGACACCTCCTTCCCCTTTTCTCCTCCCTCAAGACGACCCCTATCCCCACTGCCCTTGGTTAAGGGAAAGCCCACACCCCAAGGAAGAGTGTTAAACAGCTGAAGCGAGCTTATTTGGCCTTCCTCTTCTCACTGGGCAGAGTGAAGGTGGCACAGCTATCAGTGCAGGACTTACTCCTTTCTAAGGGACTCCTCTCAAGAGCTGTGATTCTTAGCCAAGGACCACGAGATTTAATTGGGGATGATGTTCTCCTCCCTGCTCAATGCAAACCCTCAGTTCAGCCTTTCCTGGTACTGCCCTTTCCTGTGGCCCACCAACCAACCCTATCTTGAAACACTGAACCCATAGCCAGCCCAGACCCTGCTCCAAAACCCTCCTGGCCTCTCCCTGCATTCCTAGCAGGGAAGGGGCATGCTCTCTAGAGGGGACAGACATCTGACTGCTGAGTCCTGATCCTAGGTGAATCCCAGAGCAGGAGACCAGAACCTCACCTGAACCCAAGGGTGGGTTTATCTTGGGCACCAGAGTAGCAGTGGTGGCCCCTTCTATCCCCCAGGTCTTCCCGGTACAGAGAGGTGGAAAGTGGAAGGAAGGACAGAGAGAGGCTGGTGTGGTTCCTCTCTTTAACCTAACATCCACAAAAAAATGAAAGCAGACAGATCTGTGTTTTTGGTTAATTTATCCTCCCTGATCATGTTGGTCTCCCCCATCCTTACAACCTTGCTCCATCTCAGCCCTCTCTCCAGCTCTTTGCCCCGACATGGGTCTCTTCCTTCCCTAAGCCCTATATGTACTCAGTTCTTTCTTTTCCTAATCTTTGATAGATTGTTCAGTTTTTTTTTTTGTTTTTTTTGTTTGTTTGTTTGTTTGTGTTTTTTTTGAGACGGAGTCTTGCTCTGTCCCAGGCTGGAGTGCAGTGGCATGATCTCGGCTCACTGCACCTTCCGCCTCCCAGTGCCAAGTAATTCTCCTGCCTCAGCCTCCAGAGTAGCTGGGATTACAGGCGGGTGCCACCACTCCTGGCTATTTTTGTATTTTTAGTAAAGAAAGGGTTTCACCATGTTGACCAGGCTGGTCTCGAACTCCTGACCTCATTATCCACCTGCCTTGGCCTCCCAAAGTGCTGGGATTACAGGAGTGAGCCACTGTGCCCAGCTGATTGTTCAGGTTTCTAATTCTCCAGGTCCCTAAGCTTTGGGCCCTCCTCCCTTACCCTACTCTCATTTCCTCGATGTCTCCATCCGTTTGACATCATCCCTCCAATCCTGTCTGTAGCTTTTATCTCTGACCTCAGCTCTCTGATCTTTATCTCCCTAACTCCCCCATCTCTGTGACCCTGTTGTCTCTTCCCCATCTCCTTGACCCAGTTCTTCTATGGCTGTGACTCCTTAGGTTTTTGAGTGTCCTCTTTAAAGGACTCTGGAGGTTCAAAATCAGCAGAGAAGGATAGGATGGAGAAGACCTGGTTTGGATGCTGCTCATGTGACAAAAACTTGGTGGTTTAGGTGACAGCAGACTATTTATGAGTCAAAAGAGTTGGTTTAGCATTAGGCACCCAAGAGTACAGGAGCAGTTCAAACAAGGAGGGGCCTGCCCTATCTCTGCATTCAATGCTGGGAACCTGAGGTCAGTGGGATCCTAGAAAATGGGAGCAGGTACTGAAAGGATGGATGGTGAACTGTAGGGCTGAGACTAAGACAAGGCAAGAGACGTGACTAGGGTGCAAAATTTAAGGAAGCACTCACTTTCAGTGTCGTACAATTGCCCTAGGTGCCTCTTTTTTTTTTTTTTTTTTTTTTTTAGATGCAGTCTTGCTCTGTTGCCCAAGCTGGAGTGCAGCACCACCATCTCAGCTCACTGCAACCTTGACCTCCCGGGTTCAAGCAATTCTCCCTGCCTCAGCCTCATGAGTAGCTGGGACTACAGGCACGCACCACCATGCCTGGCTAATTTTTGTACTTTTTAGTAGATACGGGGTTTTGCCATGTTGGTCAGGCTGGTCTTGAACTCCTGAGCTCAGGTGATCCACCTGCCTCAGCCTCCCAAAGTGCTGGGATTACAGGCATGAGCCACCACGCCAGGCCGCTAGGTGCCTCATTCTCAAGGAGGTGCTCAAGACTGTGCATGGGCATGGTTGGCATCTGCATGGCCCTGAGAATAACTGCTTCCTTAAATTTTGCACACTAGATGCTTCCCTAATCCCACCCAACTCCTGGCTGTTGTGTGCAGGAGGATGAAGGGTCTGGAAGCCAGGTTGCATGAGAGTTGAAAGATTGTGGTTGGCTGGGCGCGGTGGCTCACACCTGTAATCCCAGCACTTTGGGAGGCCAAGGCAGGTGGATCACTTGAGGTCAGGAGTTTGAGGCCAGCCTGGCCAACATGGTGAGACTCTGTCTTTAGTGAAAATACAAAAATTAGCTGGGCATGGTGGTGTGTGCCTGTAGTCC